AATATATTATATATTAATTTAATATTAATGATTATTTAATAATATTTGAAAGCTTTATAATAGAAAAGTATGAAATTTGAAAAAAATTTTTTTTAAGTTAATGTTAAATCTCATAAAAAAACATATTTAGTTTATAAAGTAAAACTTTGATTTTTTTTAGAGTTTTGTATCTTTTTACTGCAAAGTTACTTATTTAATAAAAATTATTTTAAATTTAATGCTTTTCAGAAAACTTGATTTAATTTTATTAAGTTTAAAAAAATCTATTAAATATTTAGATAAAAATCTTTATTATAAACAAGTAATTAATTCTTAAAATTATTCAAGAATAATTTATTAATATAATGTGATTTTTTAAAATATAAATTAAATAAATAAATAAATAAATAATATAATTTTATAATTAAAATATTATACTTTTATTAAATAACATATTAATATTATTAAATTATTATAACTACTAAATAGAAAATATATTTTATTTAATTTAAAAGAATTCTCTATTAATATAATTTAAAATTAATTTTAAATCATTATCTTAAAAACAAAAATATTAATATTTATTTTTAATATTTACAACTTTTTTGAAGTTTTGAATATAATTTTAATTTCTTATTAAATTTTCAAGTTATTTACCAATTTTTATTATCAAACTTTAACCTTTTATATAATTCAATCTTATTAATTTAATATTTATAAATTTTTTACTTATAATAAAAATAATTATTTTTGCAAAAATATGAAATAAGAAGATATTATTTTTCTAAATAATACAATTGGTAGGTACGAAGATGATATTTAGAGAAAATCTTTTTATTATCATATGATGAAACTTTTGTTTCTGAAAATTTTCATCCAATTTTTTTATCATCAAAGTATCGAAAATCTAGAATGTATAATATATAAAAAATAAAAAAGTCTATGTTGGAAATGAGATCAAAAATCAAAAATATTATTGTTTGAATATTATTTTCCCGGTTATCAAACTCGTAAATGTTTCATTCATTGAATAAAACTTTAAACATATGTTTTTCGCGTTATATGATGAACTTGTTGTTAACATATATGGTATTAAAAGTTCTTGATATAAAATCCGAAGAACAACGAATAATTTAATCGTAAACTGTATAAAGATGCGGAAGAAAAATTAAAAAATAATTTTTTTAATTGGCTATAAACCATTATATATAATGAACACATAGTTTTATACGCACCGTGAACAATCCCATATAATAGAGTCCAAAATAGTACATAAGAAAATAAGCCACCAAATACACCTTCAGTCCACACATCAGAACCATTGCGAAAATATATGCCTGGATTTGTGTTAGTTTTGACTGACCATATAAGAAAAGAAGTAAAAAATGCAGTTAAAGCATAAAATATGAAACCACTATAGCCAGTTAAACCCAAAATTCCAGCTGCAGAACCAGTGATTGCCGACATTGAAGAGCGAATAAACGTGATGGTCTTAGCATTATGAACAACGTTTTCATGAACGTATAAAGATGCTTGATTTTGTGGTGACTGACTGGCCATGCTTTGAAATTAGTTATAACAATGGAGAAAGGTAAGATAAATTTTAAATGGTCGTGTTTTTTATCAATTTCACAAGCAGGAGTTCCCCCTATAGAAATTCAGTAAGAAAATTTTATTATATAAGTCACGTGTAAATTATTCTAACCAAAAAAATTTTTTTTTTAAACACCAACTTTTTAAAATTTCAAAAATTCGGATGAAAAATAAAATTCTCAAAAATCAACATTTTGTTAAGCTTATAAAATTTGCAAGAATTCATGAAAATAAGGTAATAGTTATCCATTTATTATTATAAGTACCGGGACAGAAATAAATCAACAATTTTTTCGGCCTGTGTATTGAATTATAAAATTATAAAATACTGTCAAAAGAACAGAGATTTATTTCAGGAGAGGCAGGACGAAAGTTTTTTTTTTTTATTTAATAATAAAAGATCGGACTTAATAAATCAAAATTATTTGATTTATTTTTTTATTTTTGTATTTTTTTGTAAATAGAATGTCTTCTGCATGCATTGTTCTACGCACTATGTAACACTAAACTATAACGTGGTGGGTTATGGAGGCATTTACATTCGAGATTTAATAATTATAGTTAAGAACCTTAAAATTTAGGTGAGAGAATTGTTTCCGATCAAAGCGAATAAAAAAGGAAATAGCACGTGGTAGAATAGTAATCACCCTATGTATTTATTACAAGTAAAGTAGTCTTATTAAAACCCGTTTTTGACATTTACATATTGTTTGTTAAACCAACCTCCAAATTAGATTCTATATACTTTTAACCTGACCATTTTTTTTAATAAAACTTTTCAGCAATTACTCGAAAATACTGGTAAATATATTCTATCTTTAAAAGTTTTTACATTTTGATAAATTTATAGTAACTGATAAGTATATTTTATTTCAAAAAAAAAAGATTTAACCAGTAATATATGCTACACATCTAGCTAGTTTGCTGTTAAAAAATCTGATCTACTTTTCTTTTTATAACGATCTTGCCAAAACTTTGTAATGAATAACAATAACTCTCCACTACAATCACAGCAATATTATCCCCAAGATGTACCAGTTGACTCTATTCAAAAACAACCACATAATAATAACTCACAAAAGCCCTTTCAACAACAATTAGAACAACCGCAACAAACAATTTATACTGAGCCGGTTGTTAAAACTGAGAATGAAACTCAATCCGGAAATACTTCAACAACGGCGAAGGAAACTGATACAAAAAAAAAGAGAGCTGGTCCTAAAAGACGAAAGGTTACTCACGGTAATAATGTCTGCAATTATAATACACTTATTCATGCATATTAACCTTTAAATATTTATAGCATGTGTTTATTGTCGAAGATCTCATATGACTTGTGATGATGGTAAATCTTTTCTTTGTGATTTACTTTGTAACCTTACTCGATTTTTAATACTATTTATTTATCTTTATCTTTAGGTCGTCCTTGTCAACGTTGCATTAAGCGTAGCATAGGGCATCTTTGTCACGATGAGCCAAAGGGTTCTCATGGTGCTCAACAAGTGTCCACCGGACACAATGTTTTAACGGCCGGTATTTTAACTATGCAATCGCTTCCTCAGGACGGTAAATGTTATACATTTATATTTAAATGTTCTTTACCCTTTCACTAGCTTTACTTAGGAAATCTGTTTTCTCTTGGAAAAGTTATAAGATCAAATGCTTATAATAATTTAGCCATACAAGGATTTCCCGGACAATTACCGACAACGCCTCTCACGTTTGCTAGTGAGCATATGGGTCATGAATTTACCGTTCTTACGTAAGATTCCTTGTAATGTTCCTTTAAATGAAATTCGTTCTATTGGTTCAATCTTTAATTTTCGCAGTGACTTTTTGGAGAGTGTGGATGGTAATCCACAACATCAAAACGCTGATGGAACTCCAATAGATTTTACTGAGAAATTTCTTTTGACGGCTGCCGATCCTTCTGACGGTACTTCGGAAGACCGATTAACTCAAGTGATTAATGCAAAGTTTGAGGCTGGTTTTTTAAAGCCATTTAATTACGTCAGCGGATATTCTCGATTACAAAGATATATGGAAAATAAGTAAGAAATAAGTAATAAAGTATTTACGATTATTAAGTTTTCGAAAAAAGCTTTATTAATTTTATTTATTTTTTTTTTTTACAAGTATGACAAATTTAAGCAGACAACGAATTTTGAGTTCACTTGGAACTTTTCGACCTGCTTTTCGTAATATCGCACAGACTTTAACAGACATAGACCTAGTTTTAGTAGAAGAAAACTTTGAACGACTTTTGTTGGTTCGGATCATTCATTTGCATTTAAATTTGATTATTTTATTTCATAATTGAATCTTATTTACATTTGCTTATTGGATATAGGATTATGATAGGGTATTTAGTTCAATGGGAATTCCTGCTTGTCTATGGCGTAGGACAGGTGAAATTTATAAGGGAAATAAAGAATTTGCATTACTTATAGGAGTCCCTGTTGACATGCTTAGAGAAGGAAGGCTCTGTATATATGAGGTAATATTATTTGATTTAATCAAAGAAAATCAAATCTTTTAATTAATTCTTGAGATATTTAAATTATTTAGTTAATGATGGAGGATTCAGCTGTGAATTATTGGGAGGTATGTGAAAGAGATAACAATAATAATATTAATTGTAAAAAGAATTTATTTTTTATTATATAATAATTTCATTCATTAAATTCATTAAAGAAATACGGTAACATAGCATTTGATGCTGGTCAGAAAGCGGTGTTAACATCTTGCTTATTAAAAGGACCAGATCAAGATAGGCAGAATGTTATTTCCTGTTGCTTTTCATTTACTATCCGTCGCGACAAGTATAATATGTACGTGTAAAATCATCATTGAGAAAAAGTTTTTCCTTTTTTTGATGAAAAATTTTTTTTTATTAACTTTTTTTTTTATTGTCCGAAATATATCTTGTAGACCGGTAAGTTATTAAAGTTATTTCGTTGACTTTTTCATGGTAATAATTGATTTTATATCTTAACTATCTTTCTATAAATTTAGACTGCAATTGTTGGAAACTTTCTTCCAATTACACTCTCCACATAAATACAAAGGCTATTTATTTATTATCATCATAATATTGTTATTATTATACTTTCAAAGAAAATGGATATGGTTAAATTTAAATATATTACATATTATATAAATATAATAAATATATAGATTTAAATAATTTTTTTAAATAATAAATATAGATTTTGAAAATATTATATCTTTATATTTATTTAATCTAAAATAACTATAATGATTAGCTAAACAGCAAAACTATATATATATATATTCCAATTTTCACTTTTTATTTAATTTTACTACCATCTAAAGAAATTTATGTGGAAGAATATCCCAAAAAAGATAAAATAAAACAAAAAACAAAAATCGAAATTTTTTTAGATAACTAATGAATAACAATCAGATCATTTCTTCGGCCTTCCACGCTTAGTTTTTGGTTTACCGGCCGATGATTTTGCCTTTTCACCTTCATTCTTATGTTTTAAAAAATAATGAAAATTCAAATGAGTTGAAGAAAAAATATTTCTAATGCGTAAATAAAAAATAAATATATTATTACCTTTCGTTTAGAAGAAACTTTTGTATCGCTTGGTAATGCAGTGAAAAAGCTATCCAACCTTCCTTGTGTGGCGACCTTAAAATTTTTCTCAATCTTATCGACACCTTTTCTTACACGTTCTTCACTTTTTGATAAAATAAATAAAAAATTTTTTTAATTAAATATTTTAACAAATTGAAATCTGATTAAAGAAATTTCATTACCTAAATCCTTTTTCGCGAACTAGATATTCTACAATTCCTTCAACATCAGGTTCTTTCCATTTGAGCTTTTTTATATATATATTTATATATATAAAATTATGTATATTAGATAAATTAAGAATAAAAATATTTTAATATAAACGAAAATACCTCGATCTCTTTTGGATCTAGAACTTCAGGATTTAGAAATAACTCTCGAGCTTCTTTATACTTCCAGTCTTCAGGAATTGGATATTTTTTAGCATCAAGGTTCTTAATTATTCCATCTATTGTCTTATGTTTTTTTATTAATTCAACCGCTCTATGTGGACCGATGCCTTTAATAGAATCACAATAATCACAACCCAATAGAATACACAAATCTATAAACTATTCAAATAATAATTTAATCAATATATAGTGATGGAGTAAATGATAGAAATGAAAACAATACTTACTTGCTCCATTGTAAATTCAAGATTACCTAAAACTTTATTTAGATGAATTTCATCAATTGGTAATTTTCTAGCTTCACTAAAAGTTAAATGTCTTAATAATATTGGGGATGCAAAGGTCAATGTGTCCATATCTTCGGACGCAGCTGCGTAAACCTGAATAAAAAAACGACAAATTAAAAAAATCATAAGTTAAAACCTAAATAATTTCAAGGAAGAAAGATTAATAATAAAAAAATCGAAGGATTTACTTTTCCATCCCGAGCCATAACGGCACATTGAGCTTCAGCTTCGCATGGTGCCTTTAAGATTGATTCAAGAAAAATCCAAGGTTAATTAATATAATAATAATTCCAAGCAATAAGCATAAATTAAAAGGGCAAAGATAACAACCTCAACATATGGGATTCCCATCAAGCCTAATAGCTTTTTACATTCAGAATTATGTTCTGGAGTAACTTTGACAGTTCGTCGAAGGAATTTATCTATATCAGCGGCATCACCTGTCATATTTCCATAATATTAATGATTTTTAATGAACTGCATTTATATTACAAGATCTCATGATAATATTTACCCAATTCTTGTGCTTCCTCAAGGTTAACATTCGCTTCTTTCCTTCGAGAAAGTCGTTTCGCAAGCTTAAAAGCGCGTCGAAAAAAAAAATGTTTCAAAATTTAGTGTTTGCAAAATAAAACGTGAAATGATTCATTAATAGAACATCAAATCTTACTTCACCAGATTTTAAGGTTGGCGGTTTTCCGTCAAAGACATAGCAAGGTTTTAATCCATTTTCAACCATTCGAATTGTTCGATAAAAGATACCCATTAAATGACTAGATTTACCAAATAAAAAAAAATGTTGATAAATACATTTAGAAACGTGATTAAATCATTAAATCATTGTACCTTGTAGTTTCTCCCGTTTCGGTGGTTAGTTGTTGACCATCCTGTTGTCTCACTGCAATCAAGAATTGATATATTGACATTGAAGCATCAATAGCAACTTTACGCCCAAAGTAATTCTTGATTTCATTATGTTTTATAGCATTAGGGGAATGATCGCCGATAACTTTAATTAAACCGTGAATACCCATTATGAATTTTCCTTTTTTTGAGAATATTAGTGTTAATCAAAAGACTCTCTCATAAATTTACGCGTTTCGCGTAGCTGTATGTTGACAAATGTAGCAGGTAGCAAGCATGATAGACAGAAAAACATGATTGGTCTAAAATAATTCAGCATCATGTGATTAGGGATTTTTGATTGACCAATCAAATCAAAAATATTTTAGATAATTGATCAACATTTTTTTTCGTTACGAAAGTTAAATTTGAATATGAAAATTTACCTTTTTAATATGTAAAACCTAAAAACCGCTTATTAGTTCCTGTTCACCTTATTTTTAACTTATCAAATAATTGTTTATTAAAAAAACTTGATACTTTTTATACTTTTTGAAGTACATTTTCAATAAATTCATTGGGGGTTTTTTTTAAAAAAAATGGTAAAAAAGAAGGGAGCAAAACCAACTTTGTCTATGATAAATATAATGGAACACAATCGCAAAATGCAACCAGCAACAGTCAACGTTTTCTTGAAATCAAACCAGGAAAGGATTATTAACCTTGCATTTGGTGCATCAATTACAGCTTGAGACAGGGAACGATTATGTGTACTCCAGCAAGAGAACGACCATTACCTTCTTCCTCGAGAACAGTAGGGAAATGTGGTTCCTACACTAGAAAATTTGGAGTTCGGGAATTACTCGAAGATGAATATTTTATGCCGGTGGAGACCAGATCTCCAAATCAGGTCTCGAACAATAATCATTACAAAAAGAAAGTGATGGAACTATGCGAAAATTGCAAGGCTTGTCAGATCTGGTTGATGCATTAAAGAATGATCACAAGTTTCGTTGAATGACTAATTGATCAAGAAAATAAGGAATACTTCAATAAAACAGTTGGTATCACTAATATTCACCCACTCTGGAATGGTTGTTCTATCTTTAGATGATTGTAGTATTATGTTTAAGTGGAGTGAAATGACGCAAGACATGCATATATTGGGAATTAATATAATGGAAGGCCTTGCGAACTGCCTTTATCACCTCTAAAAGGTGTACCATTATGGAGAACGCCAATGAGCTGGTACCTAAACACGTCGTGTAAAGGAAAAGTTGGCAATAGCTAATCCAGCAAAAATGATAAAGTGAATGAGAAAGATCAGGCTGAAAGTTGCGTTTCACTATAAAAAAATATTATAGAATTTGTTTGCAGAACATTATTGGTATAGTGGATTCTGTATAAGTGAAAAGTGCTTTGCGATTTATTGTACTGCATAATAATATTAAAAATAATTAGCATGTTTTCACTAAAAAATAAATCTTTGATTTTAAATATTTTCTATTTTCTAATATACAGTTACACCCGCTAAAATAAAGCAGATATGGTCAAAAACCATATTATTAATTATAAACTTTACAATACTGCATAAAAGAAAGTGATATACTTTGAGATCGTGACGCGATGCCAGTCTCGAAACAATATATCGTGTGATTACTGTATCATTACCGTTTGCCTAATATTTCCCGGATTAAATTTAAAATATGTGATGCCGAAAACCATAAATCTTTCTTGCTCTTTCAAATGTACTAGTATCCCCTTCCTGTTGAGACATCTTGAAAAGACTCTCTCTTTCCCTCACTTCCGAAACCTTGGGTACACCGACGCAAGTTTTTTCAAGATAAGAGAATCCTCAACTTTAGACTGCTTCGCTTTTTACCTGGCAAAAATCATGAGGTTACGACAGGTGGCAAATTAGTAAACTTTGGTGGTTGGCAAAATTTTTCGACGTGGTAGTAACTCGTCAAAACCTTTGATAGTATGATAATTGATTGGCATTAATTATTAAAATCACGTTATGGATATAGATCTACCATATATGTTCCATAATTAGTATTCGATAATGAAGATCATGAATCCCACAATTCCACATTTTTTTCAATTTTCAATATAAATAAGTACAGGTTCCATTTGTCTATTCCTTACTTTACATTCGCTCTTGTGAAAGAGATATGTCTATAGGCTGACTCTTGCGGATAAAGAATTTTAACAAGGTAAACTGCGCTCCCTGTTTTACCATAGTTTTAATGATACAGTCTACAAGATTGTTAGCATAGCGAGGCTCAAGGAATAGTCGCTTAAAGGAATTTGCTTCCCTAGACATGGAATGCGAGTGTGTTACTCCCTGCTAACTTTTACATTTATTTATTTTTTTTTTTTTATAATAGATAACCTTTCTACGTTTCGATAGGGGTCGATTTGCACCATTATAAACTTTATATTTTTTAGCGGCGGGTGGGTGTGATAAGAGGATTTAATCATAATAAAAAGTAAAGATTGATATTAATTGATCAAAACCGAAACCTGTTTAAATCCGTCGAAATCAGTCGAAACTGTCGAAACTGTCAAAATTATTTTCGAAATGTCTTTTACCAATGAACTTATTTTAAAAATTAAATTAAAATTAAAAACAATAACACCTAATCTTCCTTTATAATATTAAAATTTAATGAATTAATAATTTTGATTAATAATACTGAATCGGAAATTCCAGTTGAATAATGCTTTAAATAAGTTTATCATGAATAAAAAAAAATCGGTTTTTTTAACGAATATAATAAATATGGTAGATAAGTATAAAATAAAAATTTTAATAAAAGAAATTTTTTTACAACTATTTTTCGCCAATTTGATTAATAATAAGAAAGGTTAAAAAAAAAAAATCAAAGAATAGTTACATTGCATTGCTTCATATTAGGCATTTGTACTAATATAATTCAAATTAAATATCATATTCTAATGCTTTTGTTGTATAAGTTTCATTTTCCAATAATTTAATTTTTTTATTGCCTTTATCTATAAAATCATACAGATACATTCAATAATTTAATTTTTTTTTTTAATTTTTATTTGAATCATATAAATTTATTGAAATTAGATATCATACCGGTATTACTTTCAAATTTATCGCTTTCAAACTTTCGTTTACCTTTTTTAAAGAAGGAAAAATGGTTATTGAAAATTTTAGCATATTCTAAATGCTATTTAACTGGTTGTAAAATAAAATTTAATTTTAATTACCAAAATCCGAAGAAATGGATAGACCTCGTAAACTTCTTGCGGAGTTAATCATGTTACTTAAAGATCTACTCTTATAAATAGCGCCTGGATTGTTTGTTGTTATAGGTCCAAATTCTGATGATTCTACAATAGCTATTTGATTTTTATATTCAAAATTTCTAATTCTACCGATTCTTTTAGAAATGCCACTAGCTGCTGGCCTTTTACTTTGATCAGGGTCCCAGCATTCTTTCATCAATTCAATATAACCTTCAGGTGCTGCTATATCACCTGTTGGAGGACGTAAGCCATCACAAATATCAATAATCAGCTCAATATCATGAGCACGATCCCAAAAAGGTCTTCTTCCTGTCATATATTCCCACATAATCATACCAAAACTATAAATATCTGATGCTTTAGTATATTTTTGCCCTTTAAGTACCTCTGGGGCCACATAAGGAATAATTCCATAAGTGTCATTAACGTCAGCTACAGTAGCAGATTTACTTAATCCTAAATCACCTATTATAGCATATTTATCGCCATATATCAAAATATTTCCACTATGAAAATCACGGTGGATAATACTCTTTTTATGAATATTTGATAGGCCATCTGCAATATAATATAAATGATTTAACTATGTATCCCAACTAACATTAAAACACTCTTTAGCTATATAATGGGATAGATCTCCTGAAACACAATAAGACATAATTATCACAAATTCTTTAGTATTAGGATCTCGCGTAATTCCATAATACCGAATAACTCGATCATTGTTTTTTACTCGAAAAAATATTTTAAGCTATAAAAAAGATTATTAACTTAGTATATATTTAATTAATAAATAAATAAATAAATATATATATACCTCGTTTAACTCCTTAGAAGTAAAGTTTTTAGAATTGTTAAGTTTCTTAAGAGCAACTTGTTTATTAGATCTCCGATTATATTTTTTTTCTTCTTTATTCCAATCATCTATTGGACCATCAATCCAAGTAGCTTTATAAACTTTACTAAATCCTCCCTCACCAATAAATTCTATATTTTTGAATTGATCATATGGAACAAACTCCATTCTACTTCTATCGTTATGATCAAAAGTTATATGAGTATATTTGATAAAGTCGTCAATAATTTTGTTTCCACTTGGATTAATGATTATTGCATTTGATTTATAACAAGTACGGCAAATCTCATGATTTTCTTCAGAAGGCATTCTTCTTCTTTTACAATCAATACATTTATCAAATTTATATATAGGCTTCATTTTTTTATCAACGGTCTGAATTTGCTGATCTGATGTGTTATTTGCGATTAAAAAGTCGATTTTATGTTTAAAATTATTTATTTGATATTGATTCATGATTATTTCTGCAAATTCGTCTCAGGAATACAAAACCCCACCTATTTATATACTTTCTGTTCTTAATATGACTTAATATTCATAATATTCTAAAAGGAAATTTCCGAATACAAAAAAAAGAATTCCATCAATTTCTTCGAAACTTCCAAAAGAATGCGAGATTTATTTCAGGCAATGATCTGTTCAGATTTGTCACCAGAATCAGAAAGATCGATCCCAGCGAAAAATAAAAGTTTTATTTGCCTTTGTATTAATTACTAATTTGATTGATTTCCATATGTAAAAACTAATTGAATTTTATGTAATGAACAAACGAAGCGAAGACTAGATTATGTGGTGACAACAAAGATGTTCGTCTGTTCGCCTGCTCAAAAATTGAGTAGATACTGTATACTTGTGCTCCGGACTTAACCGAACCGTTTCCTAATTTTCCTAATTGCAGGTATCCGATTCAAATCAAACCACTAGTTTTTTTTTTTTGCAAATCCAATAATGCTTAATGCACTTTAATATAATTTGATTGGGTATTGCTATGCGTAGTTCTTAACGTTTATGTGGTTGTAAACGATGACAAAGGTAAGCAGAAGGTTCATGTTTTATTAATAATAACGATCTAATACAACGTAAATAAAGTATTGTCTCAACGTCGGCGCTCTATACGATCAGGTACGTTTATTAATTAACAAGTTCAGGATTATTACAATAAATGCAAGGGAAAGGGAAAAGACAAATGCTATTTTATTTAATTAGGAATGTCCACGAAACAAAATCGGCTCGAGGACTTAAAGCAAATGAATTTTCTTATCTTCTTGATAATGTTAAATTTTATGTTTGAACATTGTCAATCGTCGATGTATTTATATTACGAAATTCTTTTAATATAATAATATTATTGTTATTAAACAAGAGTATTTTGTTAAAAATGCGTCTCCCCTTGATTTTTTACAATGATCAAATAAGACATATGCAAATAATTGTTCAAGTCAATAGTTATTTATAAAAATATCAAGGCAGTATTATCTATATCATTGCATTCAAATTTGGACCTGCATAAAATTACAATATCAATTCAATTTTTTTTTGTTTGTAAGTTGACGAAAATGATTAGTAGTTATAAGTTGATTATAATGCTTTTCACAAATAAAGTAAAATCTCAATGAAAGATGGAGGAATGCGTATTAATAATTTTAGCCGATATTTTATATAGCATAAGGACATTCATGAATTTCTATATTTTACCCAAAAAAATTTGACCCCACGTGTGAAATTAGCCATGTGAATTTATTCTTAAATAATCAACATCTTATTTAAAATATTAGGATAATTACCCAATATTTTTTATTGTATTAATAAAAGCCAACAAAAAATGACTTGTATAATATATAAAACTTATTGAATTACAATTGAATTGTATTACTTAGATCTTAAATAATTAATAAAATTTTAACAAAATATAATTACATTAATATATAAATACATAACTAAATAACTAAAACACTTTAAATATTTTTTTTTTTAAAAAAAAAAGAATTTATAAAGCACTTTGTCCTTGAACATTATTAGAAAATTCCGATTGTTCATTAATATCAACAATTTTAGATGGCGAAATACCTTGATCAAAATTTGGAGGTTTAGGGATAAGGCCTTATTGTTAAAAAAAAAAAAAAAAGAAGGGATTAGTTTTAATTCATAAAAGTGATATTTTACAATTTACAATATAAATTATTTACTTACCTAATGTTTTGAACATCACTTGATCAGAATCAAAATCATTATTTTCAGTTGTTAATAACTTATCACCAGTAAAAATAGAATTTGCACCAGCAAAGAAACATAAAGCCTATTTAAAAATAAATAAATAAAAAAAATGATTAATGATTAAAAGCTTTAAAAGCAAATAATAAGCCATGATAATGAAATTTACCTGTTCGGGTTGGGAAAATCGTACTCTACCAGCTGATAATCTAACCATTGATTTTGGCATGACTATCCGCGCTGTTGAGATCATACGAACCATTTCCCAAATTGAAACGGGCTAAAAATAATTTATTTTTTCCAAGTTAAAAAAAAAGTGGACAATAGTAATATTATGATCACAAAGTACTTTCTCTTACATACCTCTTGTTTCTCCATAGGAGTACCTTCAACCTGTACAAGAGCATTAATAGGAACACTTTCAGGATGTTGTGGCAATGTTGCTAAAGTATGTAACATTCCAACGCGATCCTCAGAAGTTTCACCCAATCCAATAATACCGCCTGAACATACAGATATACCAGCTTCGCGAACGTTTGAAATGGTATCAAGACGTTCATCGTATGATCTTGTGGTAATAATTTTTGGATAATATGCTCGTGAAGTATCCAAATTATGATTATATGCTGTTAAACCTGCTTCTTTAAGTGCTTTTGCTTGCGATTCATTTAACATTCCTAGAGTACAACAAACTTCCATGCCCATGGATCTACAGAAAAAAATATCGGTCAATCAAAGGTTTAAATAAAAAAGTGAAACGCATTTCGCGATTTGACTTCATATTTATAATGTACCTAATTTCTTTTACATAACCCACGATTTTGTTGAAATTACTTTTTCTACCCTTTAGATCTCTCCATGCAGCTCCCATACAAAATCTGAATAATCATAGTTAATTCAATAATTGATCATAATTCAATTTTATATTAAAGGTATATATAATCAAGTTTTACCTAGTGCTACCAGCTTCCTTTGCTTTTCTAGCAGCCACGAGTACTTCATCCGTGTCTAATAATTTGGTTGCCTTTACCATAGTTTTATATTTTGAAGATTGAGGACAATAAGAGCAATCTTCTGAACATCCGCCTGTTTTTATGCTTAATAAAGTACATTGTTGTACGGCGAGTGGATCAAAATTCTCACGATGCACTTTTGCCTTTATTTAAAAAAAGATTAAGGGAATTTGATCATATATTTAAAAGGGATAATCAAAGCGCAATTGGAACGTCGTCTTGGCAAATTTTAAATACTTTAAGAATTCTACATTATTTGTTTAACTTACACCGTAGAACAAAAGATCCATTAGAGGTGAATCGTAAATAGATTTTATTTCTTCTTCAGTCCAATCATTTCTTATTTGTCTTGAAGCATATAAACCAACCGCCGAAAGAGGTCTCGTATAAGTTGGTGCATTACCAACCGAAGCTAACCTACGCACCGTAGTAATTGATAAAAATTTAGATGAAATCGTGTTATGACTCTTTGAGGAGAATAAACGGAATGCCATTTTTAATTATAAGTTATAACGGGGTAATGATAAAGGCAATTAAAAAGAAAAAAATGAAGAGAATAACAGCCGAGGAATTTATATCGATCTTTTTGGCCTGGATCAACATTCTCATGTTGGTAACACGCATTTTTTAAAAAACAAAAATTTTAGATATGATCCGCAGGTTCATCTAAAACCCTACCCTGTCGGATTACTTTACAAATTTAGCAAGAATCAATTATTATCAATACATAATAAGACATTATCATTAAGAAAATTAAAGGTTAGATTTATTTTATAAAGTTGAAAAACATTTTTTTTTTATTTTATTTTTTATTTTTATTACGAAAAAAAAATAATAGGATTAAGCTCCGAACGGTTTTAAATCTTAGGCAATCCATTTATTTAATTTTGATCGTGATACAAGAAATTAAGTAATTAAAAATACTGTGTAATTTAAAAATTAACGATAAAAATCAAAACTTTTAATTGATCAAGAAACAAAAATTCCCAATAATCCCAAATCAAGAGCAACTAAATGGTTTGGGAATTGGTAATTCACAATCAACCTCTGAAACAATCTCAACTAATTCTTGACATTTTGCACATACTTTTTTATCTGTAGCACATTTGTTACACAAGATATGATAAGCTTTTTTAACAGTTTTTTCGTTACAACCTACACTAAAAATAAAGTCATGTTGAGTATTGAGTAAATTTCGTTAAAATTTTTTTATTGATAAAAGATTATAAATTTACCAACGTTTCGGTGTTGTTAAAGGCTTATACTTTTTATATTTTTTACGCCATTCAACAATTTCTTTACATCGACGGCAACTAAATTATAGAACATTATTAATCATTGATTACTTTTTTTTTTTTAAAAAAAAAAAATAATAATCATGATTACTTACAGTCCATTTATGGGTAAAGAATTAATATACTTCGTCTTTTTTGAGTTTTTATTTGGTTGAAATGCAAAAGTATTTTGGTACTTCGGTCCACTTTTCTTATTGCTGTTTGTTGATACATGGGTCATGTTAAAAAAAAAATCGGATTTGCTAAAATTCGAATTGAACAAAACCGATATTTAATAAAATTTTCGTGTAACCATAAAATGAAATAAAAAAAAAAAATTATATACGTTATATATATTCTTTTTATCTTTCAAATATTTCAAAATGGTAACCATTTTTTTCATTATAATGTATTACATCTATTATTATTATTTATTTAGAAACGTAATTTATTGATTCATTAGATTCGTAGACAAACGCGACTTCGCCGAGAATATCTATACAAAAAGTCATTAGAGACTAAAGAGAAACAAATTTATGAAAGAAAACAAAAAATCAAGGAAGCTATTCGAGGTAAATTAAAAATTTATTAGGATTAATAAACCATAAAGTCAATGAAATTCAACTTTCGTTTTTTCTTATTAGAGGGAAGACCAATTCCGACCGAATTGCGTGAGGAAGCCACAAAACTTCAAAAAGATTTAAATTTTGATGAAGCACAAAATGGTAAAATATTTTTGGGGGATTTATGATGACTTTGTCATATACTTATCAAATCAAATCAATTAATTGTAGAACCAACCTCACATATCGATGATGAATATGCGCGCTCTGGGATATACGATCCGAAAGTTTTGATAACAACATCACGTGATCCAAGTAGCAGACTCTCACAATTCGCAAAGGTGATTTATAGTATATAATTTTTTTTATTGAAGACTTATGACTAAATTAGAGGATTATATCTTTTATTAAACAGGAAATGCGTCTAGTATTCCCTAATTCACAACGAATAAATCGTGGTAATTATGTAGTCAAAGATTTGGTCAATGCCTGCAAAACAAATGATGTTACTGACTTAATAATAGTACACGAGCATCGTGGTGAACCAGGTAATAAATTTTATTTACCAAATAATTTTTAAAGATTATATTAATGTTTTTTTCCGGTTGTTATTCTTTAGATGGACTGATTGTATGTCATTTTCCTTATGGTCCTACGGCTTTCTTTTCATTACATAATGTCGTACTTCGACATGATATCCAAGACGAAGGCACAGTTTCTGAAGTATTTCCACATCTAATATTTCATAACTTTAATTCCAATCTTGGTCGTAGGGTAAGTAATTAATCACTTTAAATACTTTAATCAGGTATATAATAAATTGTTGAATTGTTTGTAGGTGATGAATATCATTAAATTTCTGTTTCCGGTTCCCAAGGAAGACAGTAAACGTGTTATGACTTTTGCAAATGACAGCGATTTTATTTCATTCCGGTAAAGGAAAATTCTACTAATTTAATTTAATTTATTTATTTATTTAAATTATTAAAGAAATTTTTTTTTTAAACCCTTAGGCATCATGTATACGTAAAAATAAATAACAAAGAAGTACAATTGGTTGAAGTTGGACCTCGCTTTGAAATGCGACGTATGTACTTATTTATTTGTGTTTTGTAATTTCTATGCGAATACTGCTTAATAATCCTCCACCTTGCTATAATTTAGTTTACGAAATCAGATTGGGAACTGTCGATTTGAAAGATGCTGATATCGAATGGGTTTTACGACCTTATCAGCGTACAGCAAAGAAACGCGATCATTTATAAGAATCTGCTGTTATGTACTATTCTGGAGATTTATATTATTTAATCCCAAGGTCGTTCCACGATAGATATATGATAGAAATTGTTTAAAATAATATTATGATGTTGGCACTGGAATCAAGGTTCCATTGTTGTCATATTTTGCCTAAAAAGGGTTTATGAATGAATATGTTAGGATTGTTGCCTCATATTGGTTCAAAATACGATTAAAATGATTTACCTTGAAAAATGTGTATGATAAAGTTATGGTATCAACGTCTTTCATTAAAGGATCATCGGAAAATTCCGGATCTATAAAGAAAAAAACTGGCATATCCACGGCTTCTCCTGCTTGTAATTTTTGTTCTTCAAAACAAAAACATTGTATCTTATTAAAATATTGACCAGCGTTAAGAGGTGTTACATTATAAGTGGCCAACCCAATAATATCTTGATTCGATTTATTCTTTGCTGTATAAAAAGCCAAAGCAGTTTCACCAGGTAAAACGTAAACTTCACGTTGCTGGGGAACGAAACTCCAATCCAGAGCAAGTGAAGTATCCGCATTAAAATGTATTCTAATTCTACGTGATTCTTTTGCCGGGATAAGTCTTTCGGGACTAAATTTTGAACTATCTGTATTAGGTGTTCCACTAAATCCAGTCGTTTGACAAAACATTCGATATAAAGGAACTGAAGCATAAGTAAAACCTACACCAAAAACTAATACGGCTATCGTGTACAATAGATAAGACTTATTCCTATCAATACGCTTCTGATAAGGATTAAATGGTTTGCTACGTCTAATGGATGTGGTCAAATTTCGTAAACTTATTGTACTAGAAAATTGATTTGATCCATTCTTTCCATTCTTTATTAACGATGATTTCTGGGTTGAAATTTAATTATTTAATCAAAATTAAATTAAATTAAAATGGGTAATTTAAAATTGTTGCATACCAATTTATTAGCGATAATGAAATTATGAAGCCGCAACGTTTGTATGTTTCTTGTAAAAAACCACATTTGTATCCTTTTGGTAAAAAAAAAAAAATGGGGACGAACGCTGATATTTTATCGAAGAAAAACCACTGGTTCGATACACTAAATTCTTAATAAAGAAATGATTTATTTGATCGACGATCGTCAAAAACACAAGAAATACTCTTTTTTGGACAGATCTGCTCATCCGAATTAGGCAAATACTTTTCTACGTTTTTGCTTAGTAATCTAGGAATATAGTTACCCATTATCCCATTATCCTAGAGTAATGTTTTCCTTGTCCTTTATATACAAATTTACAAAAAAAAAATTACATTTGTAATTTTTTATGACTACTATATATGGAGGCCGTAACACCAACACTTTTTTCACCCCACGTGACTTAAAAGTGCAGATCATTTCCAAAAATGGTAATCAAAATTTATTTAAATTAAATCTGAAATTTTTGAAGCAATAATTGCATCCTAATATATAAAAAATTCATAAAATTAATATAAAGTAATAAGATAATAAACATATTTCCTAGTGAAATATAATACTATTTTAAATATTTACTTAATCTTTCAACTGGTATAATAATGCATTATTTAGCCAAAATTAGAAAGTACAATATTAGTACAATGATTAGTATAATTAGTACAGTTAGTATATTATAATAATTAATATAAAATTAGTACAAGTATAATACAAATATAATGTTAATTTTATCTAGTACACATAAAATTCCTAACCTTATATTTAGCATTTATAAAATAGTACTTACTGACTCCTAATCAGCAAATAAGATTATATTGTAAATCTAATATTAAAGAAGAATTATGTAATATTGAGCTTTGGAAAGATAACTTCTATAAAATTGATAGAGATAAAATCATTTTAATTCATAATATATATAATTAATTTGTATCAAATGAATTTATAATTGATATACAAAAACTGAAAAAATATATAACAATCATATCTATTAATAAATAATTTTACCTGTAATGATAATTTAATTATATTTTATTAAATAAATTTGAAATAAACTATAAATTTTAATAAATTTATAAATTTAAAATAATTAGTAAAAGTTAATAATTTTATAAATTGAAAACAATTGATAAATTTATTTATATAAAAATCAAATGATCAATTTTAATTAAATAATAATCATTAATTGAATATTAAATTGACTGATAACTAATTGTTAATTAAATTTGGTTTGTTATAGTTTTAAATTTTTAAAAATAAATGTAAATTAAGTTAAAAACTAATTTATATAATTCTACCTAATATTTATAAATCAGATATTAACTGATTCATTTTCAATTGAAATATCTACTGATTTCTATTTTTTGATTACTGATTAAAAAAAAAGTGACTAATCAGAAAGATACCTGATTGATTAGCATTTGACCTGTAAATTCTAAATTAATATTATTTAATATTTTCTATCTTAAACTAAAATTCCTTAATTTAGACTTATTGAAACTAATTTATTAAAATAAAACTAATTTTTAGTAGTTTAGGATAAAATTCTTAATTATATTAATAAATTATATAAAATTTTTTATAATTCTTTAAAGTTTATTAATAAATTAAATTAATTTAATAATTTTGAATTTATTTTAAAAATTTCTATAATTTTTATAATTTTTAAGTTTTAAAATAAATTTTAAAAAATTATAATACTTTTTTTATTTTAATATAATTATTATTATTATTAACTATTTTTTTGTATAATTATTTATTATAACTATAATAAAATTTTTATTCTTAAAATTATTATAAATTTTCTTTTGATTTATATTGTTAATATGCAATTTGGTAAATGATTACAATTAAACAAGATATTTGAGTATTAATTCTTTTATTATTTATATAATAATTTACTTATAAATATCTAATTTTTATAACTTATGATTTGTGTTGTTTAAGAAAATTTATATGATTATTAAGATTATGAAGATTCATAATATAATAATATAAAGATAAGTTTATAGATAATAATATAATAAAATAAAAAACAAGTATTATGAAAAATAAATGTAGTATTTAAAAGAATTTGAATGAATTGTGAATTATATATTGCCTTTAAATTTTATCTCTTGCTACAAGTTTTAATCTACTATATTTATATATTTTGAAATACATATGATGATAAATTAACTATATAAAATAAATGAATTATATTAAATATATTAAATATAATTAAACTTATTGAATATGTTAAATATATTAACAATATTAACAATATAATATTTTTATGCAGATTAATATGTAAATCATTTAGTAGATCAATTTTGTAGATCTCTTTATATATCTGTTTATAAATTTAAAAAAATTAAAATTATTTAAAGATTAAAAATTGTAATTTTTTATTAAAAATTTTATCATTAATCTATATAATTTAATTTTAATTATATTAATTATAATACAATATTATAAAATTTATTATGAAGAATCATTTATTATTATAATTTTTATAATATATTAAGAAAACTTATGACTTTAATTAGTAATTTGTAATATTATTAGTGATAATATGATGGAAATAATAATAATAGATTAGAATTTTGACAATTAATTGAAATAGTAAAAACCATTTTAAAATATTTTCTTTAATATAATAAAATGATTTAGATAGTTTATAAATATATGAATTTTTAAAATAATTTTAATAAACTTAAAATATCTACTAATAATGATGATAAATATATAAAGTATCATTTTTATTTAATAACAATATTAAATTATTTCTATTAGATAATCTAATAGATAAAATAAATTATTTAAAACTTAGGTATAATAATATAAAAAAAAAATACTTATAATTTTACTGCTAATTAGCTAGTATTTTTTTTTTAAAAAAAAAATTACATTGTAAAAAATTAACATTTGTATAGTATCATTTGTATAGTATCGATGATGTATCATTCCTTACGAATGATTCTTTCACTTTATGATAAAAGTATCAGTATCAGTAGTATCAGTTTGTTTTTGTTTAATCTTGTAACAGATTAGGCTGGTTTTCACGTGATAAAGCAGAAATGTAGTGGAGGTATCACAATTCCGCCAATGCTCATAAAAAAGCTAGTTCAATAATGTGTTGCATGACTGACCCTTTTTTTGTTCAAAATATTTATATATAAAGTTGTTCCATATCACCAAACTAAATTACTTTAACGAATAATTTCTAATGTCTGAAAAAACTCCTTATACAGCTATTCCGTTTGAGGATTCTCAAGCTCCTAACGGTATTTTATAATTCGCTTTTATTTACTCTATTATTTCATGTATTTAAGCGTTCAATAAATAAACCCTTTAACGGTGTTATTTGCCAATATATTTTGTTGTTAAATAAAGAACGAGAATTGCCACCTTACAGTGAGAAACCTCGTTACACGTTTCCTCCTTCTTCTCTTGACTCCAATCCGCACGTTCAAAGAAAGAAAACATGGAGAAAAGCTTTACTTTTTGTATTACTTCTATTTTTGGGAGGAAGATTTTTGTTAGCTGGAATTTCGTTTTTTATGTTTAACGTACGTATTTTAGTTCATAATAATAAACTATAAAGAGAGTTAGTTAATACGTCTAAACCTATCGTTATACATAGGATTTCAATCCCAATGATGATCAATATATTTGGATTCAAGTTCCTGGCATGGAACCTCATTATGAACCAGAAATTGGATCACATGAAATGCCATATAATGCTCCAGCTAAGCCAATTCTCAACATTCCAGAATCTCCTATTTGTGAATCTTCCGTAAAGTGGAATGGTCCGAGTGAATTATTATTAGATCCTAATGATGTTACTGGATTGATTTTTAAAGTTAAAGGGATAGCAGTAAGTTTAACATAAAGTTCTATTTTTATATTATAAAATAATTATTTAAATTTATTATTTATTTTTTAGCACGGAAGTGTTATTATTCGTCAAGATCCTAACTCAAAAGATTTTCTTAACATTACAAATAAAATCTACCTTTCTGAGGATACTATCCAAGAACAAGTTGATATTAGAATTGATATCATCGATGAAGACTATTCTATCACTATTGAGGTACTTATTTATTTTTTAATATGTTAAATAAAATTTTTATTAATTTTTTTTCTGCAATTCTATTTATATAGGCTCCATCATTTGAAGGTCCTCGTCCTACCCAAAAATGTGTCCAAGTTGATACTATCATAACCATTCCAAGCCAAGTTCGTTTCTTCAGATCACTTTTAGTTGATGTTCCAAATAGCTGGATCTCTGCTGAAAGTTTAGGAGCTATTGATTTCGCTTATGTCAGTCTTAAGACTATTAATGGACATATTCGTGCTGATGTGAGTTAAAATTTATATTATCATTATAATTATTATTATAAAAATTCACAATAAATAAACCTGATTTTTTCTACTTTAGGACATCAGTGCTGCTATTGCCGAAGTTTCCACCGTTAATGGACACGTTAAAGGTGGTTACGTAATCGCCGAGAGTTTTGATGTAAGTAAATCGATAAATCACATTTTTTTTTAAATTTACTTGATATTAATTTATTTTAAAATTTAGGTTCGAACTATAAATGGAGGCATTGGAATCCATACAATTATTAACCCTTGGTCTGATGAAATATCCATTACAACAAAATCAATCAACGGCCATTTAGATGTTACAGTGGTACGTGTGAAATTATGTTTTGTTATATATTTGCGTAAAGTTATTCATATTCTTAATATCATTTAGCATGAATTGAACGAAAAACAAGCCCTTAATTTCAAAGCTGGATCCGTCAACGGTGGCGTCGTCGCAACTTTGGTACGTATTATGATTTTGACGTATCATTATACGAAACGCATATTTAATTCACTATTTTTTTTTTTTTTTTTTTTAATAGCCTGAAACATACTTTGGAAGTTTCTCTGTCTCCACATTATTTGGATATTCATATGTTGAGGGTAAAGATATTACATATGTAAGAAATTCACGAAATGTCAAAATGGGTTTTAAAGGTAAAAAAGATGACGGTGATGACGATGATGATGATGATGATGATGATGACGATGATTCCCATAAAAAGAAAATGAAAAAGGTGCACAAGAAAGAAAAGAAAATGATGAAGAAAACTAAAAAAGGATGCCGTCACAATCGTCATGACGATGAAAAGGCATCACAAATTGCTATTGAAGCAGTAACTGGATCTCTTGAATTATACTTGTAAGGAAGTATGATTTAGAATGTATGTAGGCTATTTATTTAACGTGTGATTTGCAAATATTATTGTTCATTGTATTTCTGAAATAAGGTTTTGGAATATACATATATTATTATTATTATTATACTTTTTTTATTATTAATAAAGTTTTAAAATACACATAAGTAAATTCAATTTAAAAAAATAAAATAAGCTTATCTGAAAAATCATCGAAATTGTCATCACCACGTTCTAATTGACGAAGATATTTCCTCCTCAGGCAATGATGAAGCAATTTTGCTGTTCTTTTTTTACTCTTAATGTTACTATAATAAGCATCTCAAATCACAAGAAATTTAGAGTTTTGGAAATAGGCAATTGCACATTGGTCAGATCAAAGAATTACATGAAATCAAAAATAGGTTGCTTTCCGTAAATTCCGCAAACGAATTTCATTCGCCGAGTTAGACTCTTTTCTTTTCAGTATTTATCTGCAGTAGATCCAATCCCCCTTCTTCCATAATACACAGTTAATATTTAATAAAACATTTTATGGTTGCGTTTTACAGGACCTGCCTTTTTGACCTTCTCTATCATTATCTTTAATAGAAAGCTTTTTAGCCTGTGGTGTGATTGATGACGTAGTTGTTGATGAATATCCTCCCGAATTTAGAACACATGATATCAACCCAGCTATTCTCATAATAGATACTATATCCAGAACAAAAAACCATGTTTGAATAGACATTTGCCCTTCCCTTTTCCAAATAACGCGCCCTTTCTTTCTTTTCATTATTTCATTTTCATAAAAAATGTCTTTGGATTAAGGAAATTAACAAAACAAGCCCAAGCGTTAATGTGGTCCAAACAATTTGAGGTTTATGGATGGCCTGGAATGAGTTGTCAATCATCACAGCTAGATTTACAAATTATTGCCTTTTAAGCATTTGTCACGCGGCACAGGTATATCCGAAATTACTTCATCTCTTACGTTAATATCTATGTGGAATAGAAACGAAGCGTAGTAGTAGATAGGCGAAAAAGTAGCATTAGATAGTATGGAAACTCTCATTTAATTGATTAGTGCTCGAGAAATTTCCCCTTTAAACGTCCGCTCCTCAAATTTTACACTATTAGTTGGTGCTAGCTTCTTTACATTCATTTACAAGAAAAATAAAGTTTCGCTTTGAATTTTTATGCTTTATTGATAGAATATTCCCTCATTCCTGCAATTACACTTATTTCTCTACATGAAAAAAAATATATTAAAGTTATTATAGTAGGGTGAACTTCTTAAGTTTATTGTTAAAATATCCATCCATATATTTACATCACTATTACTTGGATCTGGACTATTTCCACCACGATCAGAATCTGCTGGCAAACTACTGGTATAGTATTTTATCTTGTTCTCTATGATTCGTCTCAGATCTTGAAGTTGTTATCCTTTACATGCGGAAGTTTCCATCCACTAAATATTTTCTTGTTGTTTCAAGAGACGATGATATCATATCCTTGTACTCGTGCAAAATCAATATAAAGTACATCTTTTAGACACTGCTATAAATCCCTACTATTTTTAATTTCATTTCAATAATAAAGGTTAATATGTTCATTTTCGCATGTAAGTATACGCGTTGTTTAACGTCATCGTCGTCAAGTTGTTGTTGTTATGAGGCTTTGTCAGTATATACTTTACTCCTTCTTTCCACTACTTTAGGCTTTTTCGAACACTTATCCATGAAACGTTTATAGTTTTCTTCATCAATAAACCTTTTGATAATATTTTTCCACGAATATATGGGCTGATAATTTATGATAACAGGTTTTCCTCTATACACTTTAACATTAGAGAATAGTGATTTGTATTGTTTATTACGTGCACATTCTATGATACCTATCATAGACCCAGCACTATCCTAATATGTCCTAAAAATTTTGAGGGGATGCTAGACTCATCTTTAACTTCCTTATAACACTCGTTACAACTCGGGACATCATGATCATATTTGTTTTATCTGTGTCATCGACATTAGTTAAAAAAAAAAATCTCTGACAGATTTAACGTGTTCACTATCACCAATTCTTTTTAATCTCATTCTTAGGTTTTCCAATCTAGACTCTAGTTTAGCAGAACAGTATAATGTTACAACTTCGATAAAAGCACTTTCGGTATCTCTTGATATCGCGGGAGCAAATTTCGACATATCTTTCAAATAATTCGTAATTTCATCAATATACTTAACATCGCTGTCGAGCCAAGCAAAGTTCTTAGGTTCTTAGAAAGATAAATTTCACAGCGACCTGGTAAAACTTTCATCCTCAATGTAACTACGAAAGGCTTACCTTAATGTATTCCTAAAGAAAGTAAAGAAAAAAAGTTAAAAACGACTAAAAACCATCTCCGAAAGGCTTACCTTAATATATTCCTAAAAAAAAGTAAAGATACTTCTTTATCTCTTGCAAGTATTGTTGCTAAGTTGCAGGAAAATCTCTCCCGAACATTCAAGGTAGTGACTTCTTTACTTGCTTCACCGACAACAAAGTTGATACTCTCGGCAACGCACCCTTTACTATACAATTCTTTCTCTAGCTCTTTCACGTATTCATTACTATATAATTCTTTTTCTTGACTTATCACTTGCTCCATTTTGATTTTTTTGAGCTCTTCCCGCATTCATATTGATTAAATTTCCGATCCTACGATTGATCCGAATGTGAATTTAGTATTTCTTTCCAATAAGCATCTAAATCAAAATCACCATTATAATCAAAATTCTCATCTAATTTACAATATATTCCCATTCAAATGTAATTACACTATTTGGATTTTCAAATTCAGGAATACTTTTATATAAATTTATATCTTGCCTGGCTTGTTGTAAATGAAGATATCGAGGATCAAAACATTGAATTGCTTTGAATAATAATAAAATAAATGTTTTTTAAATTCATTCAATGCCAAATGATAAGCCTCCTGAAATCTAAATATATATGTTGAAGAATCAATTAAATTTATCTGTCATCTCAGTAGATTTTCAATGCCAGATTGTAATTGTGCTTCAAGTTGTATTAATTGAATTGAAACAAAAGATACTATAGGCTTATTTCGAATTTTAAAAAATTCTAATGTATTGAACAGACTAAATGTAAAATAAAAATATTAATAATGAGTAATTAAGAATCTTTGAAAATCTGTACTAGTTTTTGAATTGCCTTGCTTCATTATTATTAAGAAGATCTTCATTAAGAAAAAAATGTTTTAACAGAGAAATATATTTGCTCATTCAAAATATGAAATTAAACCATGAATTCTATTGCATTTTAACTGGAAAAGAAGGTAATGTAGATTGCAAATTAGAATCCTGCGAATTAAGAAAAGAAACCCATCTTCTTTTATAAGAATTTTTGTGAATAAAAGATGATTTAATATTCATAATTACTTCATTAATAACTTAAAAATTTTAAAACTATCCAGGTTTTACCAACTAAATTTAGAATATATGTTAAACAATAATTATGCTTCATTTGGTATTTTAAAGAAGTATTATTAGGGATTATCAAATATAAATAAAATAATATTTTCAAAAGAAATATTATAAAATTACTAATTATATAATAATTATATTGTTAACAGTAGTTAAATACAGTCAAACCTTGATATAGCGAACCCTTGATATAGCGAATTTTTAAATCAAATATATTAAAATTACCTTTACTATAGTGAACTAGCCAATTAAATTCTTTAAAAAATTCGTTATAAGCTTATAACGAAGTTGATATCCAGATCCTAGAATTCGTTATATCAAGAGTTCACTGTATTCAATTTTAATAAGCTTGGTTTTATTATAAAAACTAAATCATATATTAACTGCTACTCTTCTATAAACATCAGTTGATTCATCAATAGTTATAAAAATTTGTTTTTCAATTAAATTATTTTTTAAAATTTTTATTGACAAATTAAATGTTATTGGTAAATATTTGCTATGCAATTAAGTAGATTCAATAATAAAACACTTAATATAATAAAGGATTATTAATATTTATATATATAAAAAAAAAATAAAAAAAATAAATAAATAATATAAATATAAATACTATTTTAAGAAGAATGGTTTAAGTTTATCAACTTTTTCAAGTGAAATATTAGTTTATGTTAAAACATGTATCAAATCATTTCACGTTCTTCTTAATAAGTATTAAAAGTATATTTGTATATTTTTTGAGAATTTTCTCTTATTTTATACATATTATTTCTATATTTATCAGTTTTTAAATGCTGATTAAATAAAATCTTGTTTTATAATTTAAAATAATTTTTTATTATCAACATAAAAATTGTTTTATATTCTTTATTTTCATTAATATGATTAATAGAAAAGATTATTTTAAAAATAAAAACATACATTTTATAAAATTTAAAGAAAGTTTTATTTAATATTATTTTACTTAATATTTTTTTTTTATAATTATTTAATGTACTGGTTGCTTTTTTAACCAGAATCATAAAAGTTTCAAAATTAACTGAAATTCAAAAAACTGCCTTGTATAACTTTTATAAATCTCTTATTACCCAATCCCATTTCTACACTCTTTTGGTTTAAAAAAATGCTAAAAATCTTTTTGTTCCTAAAGATACTCTACTCTGATCACTAATGAATTAAGCTGTTGCTAAATTCTGTTCTATACATATTGTAACCCAAATGATCTTCAGAAAATTAGAAATGTGACGCAGTAAAGTGATCTGCAAATGATCATCATGTGAATTGATCTACAAGAATCAATGACACAATAATCGGCAA